ACACACACACACACACACACACACACACACACACACACACACACACAGACTTCTGCTATTTTACCATATGAATCCCACCACCTTCTATTTCCCATGTCTTTTAAAGCCTCTTCTAAGTTCTGATCCCATCCTTGGTCCCATGACCTATAAGCACACACACATAAATATATACACATGCATAATCCTGAATCCAGTTCCTCATGAGTGTTTGTCTTGCTGTGTTCACCCATTTTTCTCCAAATGTTTTGATTTTTTTTTCCCATGGGTGTACAAAATTCCGTCATGTAGTGTGCCATATTCACCCGACAGACACCTAGGCTGGTTCCATTTCCTGGCTACTGTACCAGGCTGCCCCCTGACATCATCCTTCAATCTACACATTCCCCTTCCATTCCGGTAGAGCTGGCCTCCATTTACCCTGATGGCTGATAACTTACTATGTTTCCCCAATGGCCAGCTCAGGTCCTTCTGGAGCCCTGCAGCCTGGCATCTGGGGCTCAGTAGAGACCCAGAACTGAACTGAGGCCTCTTGACTCAGAGCGTGTGTTTGAACAAAGTCCCCAGGGGTCTCCCTTGTGGTCTGCCCCCTGAGAAGCAGGCTGTGTGGTGGAAGCCCACTTCTCCTCCACACAGCAAGACCCGGGATCTGTGTCCTTCACCAGCAGCTTCCATTCCCTTTGCAGGCCTGGTGGGTGGGAGAAGGCTTCTCAGCTGACCTCTGGAGAGTGTGCACCAACAGCACCAACTGCACAGAGATCAACGACCTGAGCGGCACTGACATCTTTGAAGGTGAGTGTGTGAGAGTGGGACTTTGGTGTCCCTGCCTCTCCTCCCTACTGAGCAGACCCAGCCGGGTCCATCTCAGTGGCAAGTTGATCTGCTTGCTCTCCATCCTGTATGTCATGCTGCTGTAAGCCCTAGGAACAGACAGCCTTGGTAAACAGCGTCAGCCAGGACAGCCTGCTGAGCCCAGGGAAGTTAGTGTTTCTTCGGCCTCTGCTGTTGCTGCTCCATGCCCTCCATGTGGGATTATTTCTGTATTATTGCTGTTTAAATTAGGATCCATGAACTACTAGCTAAATTCAGCTCAGGACTTGTTTTGGTATGGCCCAGGAGCTAAGAATGGTTTTGACATTTTAAAAGAGTTGTGAAGAGAACAAAATCCCCAAAACAAAGAAAAAAAAGAAAAGAGAAGAAGAAGAGGAGGAGGAGGAGGAGGAGGAGGAGGAGGAGGAGGAGGAGGAGGAGGTGGAGGAGGAGGAGTAATGACCAGAAGCTTGAAGTATTTATTGCCTGCCTCTTTGGGGGGAGGGGGGCGGAGGATTGCCACCTCATGTAAATTTATCTGAGACATACCATCAGTGGTAAACTGGTGTCATGGGCAATGAAAACAGGCAGACATACTAGAGACCCTCAGTGAAGTTTGGCCCGACTGGCTCCCAGTCAAAGGTCAGGGGCCATGGCACACATGTTGACATTAGTCAGTTCTCTCTGTCTCCCATGTGGGTCCTGGGGCTTTAACTCAGGTTGTCCCCCATGGTGGCGGATGCCTTAACCAGAGCCCACCCTTCCCCCACTTTTTTGTGCTAAACAGAAACAAAATGTAAGCAGCCCAAGCACAGTTGTAGCTGCCCCTCTAGGTCTGCAGGACTGCTTCTGACAGCCCACGAGGATCCCAAAGGATGTAAAATGGCACAGAATTACTTGGAACCTATGCAGACCCTCATTTATAATTGAGTTTTTAGATGACTTGCAATGTGGAACACAATCTCTGTATGTCATTTCATTTGTGTGGATCTGGTATGGTACATGGCAAATTCAAATGTTGCTTTCTGGAACTTTCTGGGTTCTCTATTCAACTGACACACCTAAGAAATGGTTGTTGAGTCCAAGGATGCAGAAGCTGTGGCTATGGAGGACCATCTTAGCAGGTGGTATAAGATGCTAACCCTGCAACAGAGCCCATTCCTGATGCCTCCAGGAACTCCAAAGCTATCGCAAGGTCACAGGCCCCCTCTCCACTGACTCTCTGCTTTTGGTATCCTCTCTGGGCTCCACCCACACTGGCATCATGGGCTGCCAGTGGCACAGTCTGCAACTCAGTGTCAAGAAAGCCTATCCTGAAAGCACATAGCCATTTTTCCTTGCAAAGCCAGTTTCTGCATTTGCCTCATCACAGGATATGAATCACCTGGGGTCCTTGCTAAAAATATAGCTTCTTGGCACCCGCCCCAGAGTGATGGCAGCCGAGTGGGGAGTATACCGTTTGAACAAGCCATCCTAGGTGGCTCCTTGGAAAGTTTAATAAGTAATGTTAAAATGTTCACAGGGTTACAACCCTGGCCTGTTTTGAAATTCCCCTAGAGACTTGAGAAGCCCCCCAATGGGTGTTCTCAATGCCTGGCCTTCCGGTTCATTTCATCTCAGGAAAGTCTGGTAATATTTTTCAGAATAGAGCTATCATTTACAAACATGGAAATACAGACTTCTTAAGGGCTCTTTGGATCAAGGAGTTTTGACATATAAATATATAAATATATAAATATATATTCCTAGCAAACCACCACTAAACACAAAGTAGAGAACATTCCTAACACTCACAAGGTTCTTTGGCCAAGCCCTCTCAATCCTACCCAGGGAATCCTGTCCCTATGGAACTGTTTTCCCACCCCCCCCCCCCCCCCCCGCTGGCTTATTTTCACCTGCTCTTGGACTTTGAGGTGTGAAGTCAGGTGATGTGTTTGTGCTGGAGAGGTTGTTTGTTCACCATAAGGTTAGGAAGCAGGGCCAGGTGTTCTCCATGGGACCCTGATCTGTAGCTGGGATGTATTAAAAGCCCGCTGTTCTTTACAAGCTCTGCTACCGGGCCAGCTTCAGGCAAGCTAAAAGGCTGCAGATTGAGCCCCAGGTGCTGTACTTTTAAAAGGCCCCCTTTCCTGAGCTTGACAGGTAGGCACTGTGAACCAGAGCAGGAAGAAGTCGGAGTAATGGGTTCTGGCTCCATCTTCTGGTCAAGTTGGTATTTTGGTCAAGTGCCTAGCTGGATGAGAAAAGGTAGTTGGGCTGGAAGACTCCACGGCTGCACTGGTGGTCATGCTGGCCAGGTGTATCCAAGCTGTGCCCACAGAGCACAGTAACTGCGAATAGTGCCCAGCACAAGGCTGTAAATGTCCTGAAGACATGAGCTTTACCTTGATTTTGCAGATCTGTTTACAGATGATAACATTGTGATACAATGCCTAAAGGTCGGATGGACATGCCTGGCTGTAAACAGTCCTGGGACCCTCTCTGTGAGGCCGTGGCCTTCAGCCGTGCCTTTCTCTTCTCCCCACAGATTACTCCATCATGCAGGCGGTGCAGGCCACCATGATCCTCTCCACCATCCTCTGCTGCTCCTCCTTTCTCATCTTCCTGCTCCAGCTCTTCCGCCTCAAGCAGGGAGAGAGGTTCGTCCTGACCGCCATCATTCAGCTCTTGTCATGTAAGTGAAGCAGGAAGCTGTCTCTACTGCCTGCACATAAATGAAAAGGCCAGGAACTGAATCTTAAATCTTACGGTATTCAGATAGCCGCCAGCCTGCGGAGCCAGAGCAAAGTCCACCTTCTGGATCCTTGTTCTGGGATCCTTCTTATGGAGTGCCAGAGCAAACAATAAACCAATTTCAAGTTCAGATGGACCCTCTGGCCAGGTAGCTCTTGTCTCTGAGATTCCCCTTTCCCTCATCATCATCTCTGTTGCAGACATCAAGGCCACGAAGTCTTGCATTCCTTCTCAGTCTCCACTTTGGATGGCATGTAGACTTATAAGGTTAGCTCGGAACAGATCAGTGTCAGGGAACACAGAGCTTCCTTCCTCTAAATGAAATATTCTTACATAGCTTATCACAGTGCTCCTGCATTGTACCCTCATCAAAAGAACGGGAGAAGAGAAGTTGGGGAACACCCAGAAAGAAGCTGGGCCACACACTAAGTGTGGAGAAGTTTGGATTTAGTTTTGGAGAAAGGGAAGGTGTCCCCAATGCATGAAGCCTGAGCTCGGGTTTGTGAAGAGAACAGCAAGAGCAGTCTACAGTGTGTTGTCTGGGTACAGAGTGGAAGGAACAGCATGCCGAGTGGAAATCCTGGGATGAAGAACCCAGGGCAGTGAGAGCTGGACTATGGAGGGGCCAGACCAAATGGGTTCTCATAAGCCATGGGAGGGACTAGAAGTCTGTATCCTAAGCTAGTGGGAAGCCATTAACAAGTGTTAGGCTCATTCCAAACTAAGCATGGTCTTTAGCATATCTGAACCCTGGCTTTGTTTCTGACAGGTCTGTGTGCCATGATCGGGGCTTCCATTTACACGGACCGGCGCCAAGACCTTCACCAACGGAACTACAAAATCTATTACCTACTGCAAGATGGCAGCTATGGCTACTCTTTCATTCTAGCCTGGGTGTCTTTTGCCTTCACTTTGATCAGTGGCCTCATGTACATGATTCTGAGGAAGCGCAAATAGGTTTCAGGAGCCCAGCCACTCTCCCCACAGTATGGCATCCACGTTCACATAACCATTTTGTATATAATCATTTTTTTGTGTGGTTTTCCTAGCAAACGTATTGTTTCCTTTAAAAGCGTATGTATGTATGTATGTATGTATACATACATACATACATACATACATACATACATACATACATACATGTATATATATAGACAGAAAGAGACAGAGACAGAAGAAGAAAGAGGAGTTTCTGCATTCTTGGGATCAGAGACCAGATCATGAAGGCTGGCATTCAGGATGTCTGCCCACAGAAGTCTCAGCAAGGCCCAACAAGATCCAGCAATGTGGAAACCACAGGATGCTTTTCAACAGCGGATCTGGGGTGGGGTATGGCCAAAGAAGGGGAAAGCCTGTCTTAGGGGGTAGAGTCTTTGTAGATTTCTGCCCTGCCCTCTTCCCCTGCCCACTCCACTCTGGCAGCTGCAGGTGGGATAATGAGGGGTCCAAATGAGGGCCATCTATCCTCAGATATTAACTCTAAGTTGGTGTAAGAAGCCAGCAAAGACTAGCCCTGGTTTGTCTGTCAGGGACTCAGAGTTCCCCAACCCCGCTGCAGTGAGTTAGGTCATCACACAAATTTGCTGATGTCTGCTCATGTTTTCCTTAAGGATAGTGACCGCTGACCTAGCTGTCATGTTTAGGCACCGAGTCTCCACAGGTAATTCCTTAGGGCATCTGTTACATTCGGACTCTCAAGTCCCCTTACATGACCCTCAAAATCCTTCATCAAAGGAGTGGGCTTGGGTATCTGAATTTCTGATGAGCTCACTGCAAAATGCTTAGATGCGCTAAAATTGGGTCAGAGTCCTAGAGCCAGGGGAGCAGAGCCACCCTGTAAAAGTTCACAGTCTCATCACATTGAGATGACCCCACTGCCAGTCACATCTTGGCTTCTTGGCAGCTCTTGCTACCTCTTCCATGGCTATTCATATCTGGGCCACTTGTGCCCCACTCCCAGGCCATAAGCTTATACCTGGGAGGTAGGCTAGGCACCCCTTCCCTGTCCTGCCTTGTAAGGTCTCTCCTTTTTCTTGCTGCCCTTCTTTCTAATGTGGGTGCTTCTTTTAGGCCCCTGTTACTAGAGCCTCAGGAGATCTATCTTCCATTCATTCATCCACCAGTCATTCAACATGAATGAGTCTTGCAACATGTCAGGTGCAAGGGATACCTTTCAAAACAGTTCCTTGTGGGACTCAGAGTCTAGTGAAGAACACACACCAGAAACCAATTAGAAAAACTGCCAGCCTTGATAGAGCAGCAGGAATCCCACCAGAGATTCAATACCTCCTAGGGTGAGAGGGAGCCCACTTTCATCATGCCTGCTTTTAAGTGCCTTAGTGTATCTAGACTGCTCTAAACAGAGTTCCATTCAGCTCCAGCAGATGCCATTCATCGGGCAGTGCCCTCTGGGTTCTACCAGAGAATACTTCAGAGCCATGGCTCTTAAGATGGGCATTGAAGGCTGCACTCCAGTCAGTTCCAAGGATAGCACTGGAGGAGTGATGTGCCAGACCTAAGACTCAGGAACTCTGTGATGGCCACCTCTTCCCTGTGGTATCCTTTCCTTTCCCATAATTGAGCATCAAGTTATGGTGGTGACTGTGGGACAGGGTTGTATATTTGTGTTGTTTAAATATTTATATGTGAGGGGAGAGGTCACTTGCCACCAGCTCAGTCCCAGTGGAGCTGGGGATGCTGGGTCTCAGTGGCTTTAGGACCACCGATGACATATCCTCAGTACATGACTGGCTTCCCTATTTCTCTTCCTTTCCTTCCTTCCCTTGGAAGGACTGCCGAGGTGACATGTGCCAAAGCTAGGACAAATGACCATGTCTTGCCTCGATGGAGACTGTCCCATAGTTCACTGTTGGCTAGATCATAGGGTTGTTTCAGTATCTTGAGAAGCCGAGAGGAAGCCAGTCTAAAGTGTCCACTTTACCTTCCCATTGGGTGCTTTTCTGAAGTTGTTGCTTAATAATTATTCTGAGAGTCACGATGGAAACAGAGACCTGAAAGCCCGATCTGAGCCAGCACGAATTCACACCTCAGAAAACCCCAGGGCTGCAGAAGTGTCCCTGTCCAATGCAATGGGAATGGTCCTGTGGGTTGTCTTGGCTGCTCCCTACTGTGGCCAGAATTCAGTGCCCACATCCACCTATGACATGAGGTACCTCTCTCCTGCTTTGTGCCCTGCATTTGGGATGCTAGAAAGAGATGAGGGTTGAGGGAGAAAAGATCTGCCCTTCTATGTAGGATCAGCTCTCAATTGGTGCTTACCACTAGTTACCAAAGAACAACAACAGTCAGCTGGGAAACCCAAGAAGCAAATATTAGGACCAAACCTGTCACTGTATTTAAAGGAACTTTAGTTTGCTCATCTTTCAACATTTTTATAAAGTGCTGTAATTCATGGGGTGGGGCATATGACAGAGACAGACTAACCCGTGTTTGTCAATTGCATTAAAATTATTTTGGGTCTCTGTTTAATGAATTCAGACAATGTTTGTGTGGTGTTGTGTTTATTGTCTTGGATGCCGGAGAAGCAAGATACTTCCTGTTTCTTCCTACCCTCTGCTAAACGCTGTGAGCCTGTGTATACCCAAGCAAATAGCTGCATCCTAGAATGTTCCTATTAACTGAAGCTGGATGAGGACAGCCTAAATGTGGACCTACTATGCCCAAATGTACACTCATTACACACAGTCACACCCCTCCCCAGGAGCTGTGTCATAAACACACCCAAGTGGGGACTGTCACCACACAGCAAGGCAGAGTTTTGTCTACAAAAAGTAGAGGTGACAAGGAAGAGCTATGAAAGCCTTGAGCTTAATGTTGAATTTTGTTTTGGGACAGGTGTGATTTCAGGCAGTCTATTTAATATTCCTTTAGGGCAGTTTGCTTCTATTTTCTATAATCCACAACTGTACATGATAGACTGTATGGCCAAATTCCCCAAAGCCACCAACTCTCAACATTTCCTATGGTGGTAGCACCTAGAGTCAGATACTGGAGTAGCAGGGGCCTGTGGGAGGTTCCATCAACATGGAGATGTAAGCCCTGCCTGGTTGGACAGGCCTGCCATCCTAGTGCTTAGCAGGCTGAGTCATGTTCAAGATCTGCCTGGGAAACTCAGAGAGACCCTCTGTACAAAAAAAAGAGTAAGAAGAGGGCTTGCCTAGCATACAAGGGGCTGGGTTCCATCCTCAGTGCGGAGGAGCGGGTAACAGATTTTATGGCAACCAGCGGCTGACAGCTCATCAAAGGCTAACTTCTCCCTCCATCTCCTTCTATTGTAGGCTGAGTGTAGTGACTGCTCACAGTTGTATATACATCTTGATGCTCAGAGGGTGTGGATGGTTGAGTACTCTCTAAAATGTCTTGGTGTTCACATGAGATTCTTTCTTTAAAAAAACAAAAACAAAACAGTGATCTGCAAATGGCTCTATATGTCCTTTTTTTTTCTTTATTCCCTGCTTTTTTTTCTCTTAAACATAGATTCCCAGAATCAAACTTAGATCTTTGTGTTAGCAAGACACCAAGCGCCTTGTCTCCTGAGGTGTAGCCACAGCCACAGTTGAGGGTTTTTTTGTTTTGTTTTGTTTTTTTGTTTGTTTGTTTTGAGAAAGGAGAAAGACAATATGGCACAAAACCTAAAACATTTTGGTGGAAGAGACAGCGATACCCACAGCCTTCTGGAGTGGATGGCAACACACATAAAGACACAGTAAAGACACACACACATACACACCCTTTAGAAACTTCTGCCATGGAGTCTTGGAGTCACTCCTCCTTGATGTAAATCTGCTACCATCAGAACCCAACGATGTGCTGGCTTCTTTTAATCTCAATGTACTCATTACTAGCTAAAGGGTTTTTGTTCCTTTTTCTCCCCTTGTAGAGTATTACAACATTGAGTGCTGAGGATACAGGCGTGTGCCACCATGCCTGGCTACTCCTTTATTTTTCAATTTATTTAAAGTTTAAGAATGCAAACTGCTCCTTCAGAGAACCTAAACCTATACAGTTCCTAAAATCTACATGGTGGCTCAGAACTGTCTGTAGCTCTGGTTCAGGGGATCCAACACCCTCTTCTGGTCTCCATGATCATCACATACAAAACTCGTGCTCAGGCAAAAATAAATAAATAAATAAATCCATTCCAGTAAAAAGAAAAAATAAAATTTAAGTTTAAAAGGTGCTCTGGATGCAGTCACATTTGGATTTCTCTTTCTCTGTGCATATGTGTCTCTGTTATACACATGCACGCACACACACACGCGCACACACGTGCGCACCTCCCATAGTTTTCTACAAAGGATATGAGCATTTGTGCTCTTCAAGTCCCTTGGCTGCTGGATCTCAGCAGAGTAGGCTGTTTCTTTGGGTCTTAATGTTTGACTTGCATGTCCTTATCAGACATTTCCAAGGGAAGGGTCTGAACAAACATCTTTGAAGTCATTTTGAGCAGACATGTGTGGAGAATGCTTTGTGCCTTCAAAAAAAATAATAAATCCATTCTTGGGTGAGTTTTCCTAGCAGGTGCTTCATGCTGCCCCTACTAGCAGAGTTCTTGGCCTCAGCACAGTGATATTGAGGGTGAAAAATTCTCTGGTGTGGGCTGTGCTAGGCACCATTATACTTCTCCCAGTATCTGTGACTTCCAGGATGACCATAGGACACTCTCCCTTGGCACTGTGTCACAACAGCTTCAGACATTGCTAAATGTCCCCCGCAAGGACATCTGTGTCCCCTGCCACTGTGTCACAACAGCTTCAGACATTGCTAAATGTCCCCTCCAGGACAACTGTCCTGAGCAGCTTCTGCAATGAGATTTAATATATATCACTAAACAACAATCAGTGAACTCATCTTTAAATTTTTTATATATATGTATGTGTTTACATGTATGTGTTAGTCCATGCAGAGGTTCCCCCATACAAACTCACCTGGGCACATCAAAGTCACATCAGGACTAAGTGCATCCTCTTCCACTGAGGCCAGACTAGGGGAAAGTGATCCAAAAGCAGGCAATAGAGTCCATATCAGATACAAGATGTACAGGGATAAAGATTGAGCAGAGACTGAGGAAATGGCCAGCCAATGACTGGCCCAACCTGAGACTCACCCCATGGAAGAGAGACAACCCCTGAGACTGTTAATGATACTCTGCTATGCTTGCAGACAGGAGCCTAGCATGACTGTCTTCTGATCAGCTGCACACAGCAATGGATCAAAACAGATGCTGAAACCTACAGTCAAACATTAGGCAGGGCTCAGGGAGTATTGTGGAAGAGTAGAGGGAAGGCTAGGAGGTCCTGGAGGGGACAAGAACACCAGAGAAGACCAACAGAGTCAACTAACCTAGACCCATAGGGGCTTTCAGAGACTGATGCACCAACCAAAGGGCATACATGGACTAGACCTAGACCCCTGCACATACATAGCTGATGGGCAGCTTGGTCTTCATGTGGGTCCTCTAGCAAGGAGGACAGGGGTTGTATTTGACATGGACTCTATTGCCTGCTTTTGGACCACCACTTCTTTGAATCTCTGTCAGTCCTGAACCTTCTATAACATGCTCAGATATGCTCTCTGGGCTGTGTTCTTCCCATAATTCCTCTTCTTGCTTCGGCTCTGGACCCCTGAACAACTCAAAAGCTTTGTTCTCTTACCCATGTCTACTGCCAAGTTCTGACACCTTCCTCCTGTCTTGTTTGTTTTGCTGTTTTTCTTTTTCTTTTCTTTTTGAGACGGAGTCTCAAGTAGCCTGTGCTCCAGTTCTGTGCAGCCAAGGCTGACCCTGAACACTACTTCCCAAGTGCTGGGATTACATACGAGAGAGTAAATGAGATGGGTGTGCATGCAGTGGAGTCCTGACCCATAACTGTCAGTGTCTTGAGTGCTCTTGAAATGCTAAGAGGTGCCTGACACAGAACACTGCCATGTCAGAAATGGATGAAGCATTTGAAATCAGAAATGAGTTTGGTTGTTATCAGAGTGTGAGAAACTGAACCTCTGGCAGCTCTTGTGAAGTTAGAATGGAAAAGAATTTGGGTGGGGGAAGGTCTAAGGAAACAGACTCCCCAAGTTGGGGGAGCAAGCAACTCCTCTGGCTGGCCCAGACGTTCCCCGACCCCATTCAATATTCACAGATACATCCATCTGGTCTCAGCCTATATGATTCTTGGGTAGGACAAAATGGCACCAAGGTCACTTTATCCTTCCTCTGTTTATTTTTATTTTATCTGACCCACACATGTAGACAACATCTGTTCTCTCCTACATCCATTGGGACTTATGCCCTGGTGGAAGATGGGCTCATTTTATCCTGGAGCTGAGCTCACCATAAGAAGTAGCCATGCTGCTTTGTTACCGCATTGGCAGGATAACCTCATCAAGGTAGAGCTGGCCCTGTCAGTTGGCCATCATCTTGGTTAGTAATATCATCTAGATGGTAACAATCATGTGACTTCACTGCCATCTTGGTTAATGTACCACATGACATCAACCAAAATGGTGGCACCCATAAAACTTTCTGGTACCACTGAGGCCCCAGAGGTCCACCATACCTTAGAATGTCCTGCACCACAGGCATGCAGCCATACCTTCCAGTCCTCTTCTTTCCCATTCTTTGTGGGTTTTGCTTTGCTGGATGCCTAATGGGGTCATGGAATGATAGACCTAGAAGACACTTCAACCTAGGCTGTATTTCCAACAACAAGGCTAACGTATCTTTATATCAAACTATAGAGGGAACACCAGACCTCCCAGATAGGTTTTGGTTCTTTTATTTTTAAAATATCAACATATTGTTTTGCAAGATGTATCTCCTGGTGTGCCTCCAAAACTAGCCAGTCCTTAGGGGGAGCTGACAGTGAAAGGCAGAGCTCCAGTGAATTTGCAGCAGCTCCTGGGAGAATTTGGGAAAGTACAATCCCAACTGGAGCCCAAAAGGGCAGATTACCGGTGCTAAGCAAGCTGCCACTAGAGGGCAGCTGGAGCAGCTGGAGGCAAAGAGGAAGCCTCTGCTCCGGTGACTAGGTAGAGGTGCAGCTAGGTTGGGTCTTCACACCTGCTCAGGCTGCCCTGCGTCTCCAGTCCTGATTTTCTCTGATTGGGTTAGACTCTTCTCTCTCTCCTCTAGACCCCTATACTCACTGTGTGTTATCTACTCCTCTTTCTGCCCATTGAGCCCTGGGTACCCTGGCTTTTGATTCTGTTTTTTAAAGATTTATTGCTGTTGTTGTTATTAAATGTTTCTGCAGGTGTGCGAGCTCATGTGCATGGTGTGTGCTTACCACAAAGGACAGGGGGAAACTGTATCCTCTGGAGATGGAGTTACATTCATCTGGAAGCTGCCTAACCTGGGTGCTGTGGGCTGACTTCAAGAGTTACAGCTGTAGGCAGAACAGGCTGATGCCACCCCTTTCTAAGTTATCTTAACTCCGGCTTCATAGTTTCAAGCTATCCCTTAGCTAAGTTCTGTTGGAT